CAAATTTTTAAATAGAAATCATCAGAAAATAACTATTTTATTTATTAAATAAAATATAACTTTATATTGTATTAATTACACTGTGTGGTCCCGGCATAGAATGGGCCACCCCTCACTTTTCCGTGGATATCGTAAGAGGCGAAAAAGGCAACAGCATCCCTCTTAAAACATCACCAAAGACTAACTGCGGTTGTCAACTCGCTTGTCAAGCGTGGCAACTACTGGCAAATCTCCCCTTATGGGGAATGTCTATGTTTAGCAGTTGATAGTTAACGTCTGATATAATGATAAATAAAAATGTATATTACATTATTATTACTATTATAATACAATATTTACAAGATTTGAATATAAATTATCATTGATACGCTGATCGATTCCAGTGGTCGATATAGATATAATTAAATCTTTTAATAGTATATTTGATTACAGCTCGAATCTAATGTTCATAAATTACTTATATTCGAATCTTGTAAATATTATATAAGTGATTACATTATAAAGTTATATATTGTTTTACGAATAATGAATATTGGTCTCTATAGTTTATTGATATAAACATAAAAATGTTAAGAAGGTAGTATGAATATTATTTGTATAAGTAAATATGCAATTTAAGTGGCCTTTGCCAAATAAGCTTTTTTACAATATAAACCTGCGAATTGCAACATACTTAGTGTAAGTATTTTGCAACTATAGAATAAAACTAAGGTTGAAATATTACTATATATTTATAGTAGTTATTATATTATATAGTATACTATTATATATAGTAAAAATGTTTATATATAATTGAATAAAAATGTACCATTTACAATTAGTATAATGAGTTAAAATAGCTTATAGTACTTATATGTTTACACAACAAACAAGGTAATATTTTAATTTATTAATATAATTTTTAATATTAAATTCCTTTGTAAGCTTTCATTCAATTATCGTCCCAGCATAAACTGCTATGAGAAAGGTAAAAATAAGTTATGACTAATTTCCGAGTTCAACCTGTGTTGTGGAATGCAGGCGGAGCTAAGGTCCAGGCGCATTGTTTGGTTATCTAAACGCCATGAATTGGCTATGAACACAGCTAAATACTTAGTGACTGGCAAGCGTATGTGCCGTTCAAAGATTTGAGCTATGTTATTTAAATATATCCATATATATAAAATGTTCATTTGTTGTATTTTGGTTGCAAACGATTACATGTACTGTAGGTTACTATGTAGTCGCCATGTCGCCAATTTTAGACCGATTTTAATAATTATTTTTGTAGTAGATTAGGGTAGCCTTTATTAGTCCAATATTAATTTCATCGTGATTATAGTTATATTAATTTTTATTCAGAATATTTTAACTCTTAACGGTTACTTTTCGATCAATGTCGCAAAACGTATAAGTATGATTTTCGTAGTTTTTAAATTGTGTTTATTTTAACCTAATGTAAATATTTACTCCTTGTAGTTGCTAAGGGTAAAATTATTCACCCAATGTTGGAATATATAAAATATTTCATTTATTGAATTATTAAAATAGCAAGCAGGTATAATAATATAGTTTGATCAAATTATTAATATAAATTTTAAGATGTTGTAATTGAATGTTGGAAAGTCTTCTGTGTAGTCGCTATGGCTGTCCTTTATCCAAATTCACGCACCTATGTAAAGTAGGTATGTACTGCAGTGCACTTGCATTTAGTATCCGTCTGGTCCATTGTGTGACGCTCTATTGATTCTGGCGGCGCTGAGGGGGCGTGATTCAACCGTGATGTTACCTAGCATATTTGATACAATCAGCGTTGCCCGATTTATTTTTTTATTTCTCCCCAAATTTCAAACGTTTATTATTCAAATTCAAATCGTATAAATTTATCTTACTTTTTACTATAAATCAAACTTTTGATGACCATTTTGACTATGTTATAATAAAGTTACTGTTATACGAACGGCAAAAAAGTCCCTTTCCACGCTAGCTTTTATTCCTGGTGTTATACGGATCTCACATATAAGAATTTTGGTATTTTCAATCTTACCAAAATTATTAATATTAAAATACCAAAATTCTTAAAAAAAAAATTCCAGTTTCTCCACAATTATTTGTTTTAGACATTTTTCCAACACTAAAATATTTACCCATAATTGCGAAAAAATATGCATTCTGGCAATACTAGATACGATTTATATTCTAAATTCGTTCCGATCCCGGCGGTTGGGTTCAGCATATTATCACCTTTCTTTTATATTGACTGATCATGAATACTCTTATTACTATAAATATAACAAGCAATTATCATCGCTAGAACTCAGTCGTTTCAATGCTTTTTTCCTGCTGGTAATCATATTTACACAAACATGTAATAATAGTAGTTATGTATAATATGTGACATATTAATAATAAGTAAGTATTTTTATTTAATTATGTTAATAACGACAAACAATATACATTATTATACGTAAAATACATATATCAAGGTCATATACAAATGAAGCGCCTTAAGTACCATGTGTCTATAAAGTTAGATGCTAATGCAGCTTCGATTTTTAAAAAATACGAAACTTTAAATGTTAGTATATTAAATAAGGTTATTGATATGGTTAGCATTGTTCATTGTACATCCGATGTTGGCACATCAGTTATAATACTGATAATTTTAGTGCTGATAATTTTTGCGTTTGTTGTAACAACTGATAAAGTCGGAACATTTTGTAAAATAACCACATCCTTACTTTGCAATGTGATTCAATTGGCAATTCCAACAGGAAGAATCTGTCGCCAGTTTATTGGTCGTTTTTATGATTGTGATCAATATATTGACAATATGCAAGTCAAGTATAAATTGATATATTTTTTTATTATCAGCCAATTGTCTTATAGTTGGATCGATTATTCGTTTGTTTACTTTTTCGTTAACTTCTATTGAAACAAATTATAATAAATACGCTTTCGATAACTGTTGTTACGAAGATGAAACTTGTTAAAAATGTAGCAACTAAATGTCGAAAGAAATATTTTAAAGTAGGTACCGCAAACGAGACGTCTAGTGAAGACCAGTGTTAGGCAACATAAACTAGTCACCTGTGAATAGGTAATCTACATGCATCTCGAGTATTTCTAACCTCTGTACGGTATCGTTAAATATTTAAGCATTTTGTTACATTGAATTTGCTGATAATATTTCGATGTTTAAATTTTTTCATAAAATTATTAATAATATACGTAATTAACAGATTTTTACCACGATATTATTATGTTAAGTGTAAAATAAAAAAAAATAAAGTTTTATAAATTGAGGTTATAATGAAATGGTAACCCCGCCTGTGCTATACTATACAGTATACACTAGTGGGGCACCAGAGGGATGATAGGTGAGGATCAAGTCAGGTGAGTTAGCCCATCGCGACGAAATTGATGATAATAAATCACGATGGTTGCCAGGGGGAACGTGGAGGTCAACCTGATAGAGTATGTTGCTAGCAATGGGGACTAACGACCCCATTATTAAAAATTCGTCTCTCCTTGTAGAGTTGGTTAGTATATATTAGATTAGTAGAAGATTACCTACTCTGAGATTTTTTTTAATTACTAGCTTTTATGCTCGCTACTTCGTACACGTGGATTTCAGATGCAGGAAACCCAATGAAATCAATTACTTCTAGATAGCGTATCAAGATAAAATATACACCAATTTTTAAGTAAGACCTTTAGGAATATAACTGTGAACCGCATCCAATTTGGTGCAAGTTTTTGCATGATGTCGGAACTAACATATAGAGAGATAAAATTCCAAAAATTATTATTTTGGCTTCTGTTGCTCTTATTAAGACCATTCATATCTAGTTTTAGTAAATATCTGTACAGATATAAGTAGATACCAAAACTACTTATAAATCAATATTATATAGTCTAGTATTATGTTTACCGTACCTGCATTAATAAATTTGTTTTTACAACAGCGTTTATACCATGACCCCAACTACAATAAACGAAGCGTGTCTAAGATACCTACCTCAGTTGGTTTAGGGTCTTCACTTGACTCCTATAGGTATTTTACATAACTTTATGCGATAGTCTCTTCTCCACATTTTTTAAATTTTTTAAGTATTTTTCAACTTGTTCGATTAAGTAAGTATGATAATGGAAAGGTAACCCTGCCTGCGCTATCGGTACACGCTGGCAGGACACTAGTGAGAGATGATAGGTGAGGACGAAAGCAGGCTACTTCGCCCATCGTGACGAATTCCATGATAATCAAGTTGATTTCCATAGGGAACGATCTCTTTCCTCTCTGTTGGAATCGTAAGGATGCTGTGACAGAGAAACATGAAAACATTATAAACATTTTAAGTAATTGGCCGCGAATGTACGTAAGCTTTAAATGTGCAAAAATATTTATTTACAAGGACAGTAACCTTATGATCAAGTAAGTTTGACAGTTATATACCTATTAGTAGCTATCTACCTACCTAATTATTGTATATGCTTATAATGTTTAAGATACCTACCATGTGTAAAAAACTTGGATTGTAAACTTGTTTACTGTATTCGGTAAAGGATTGGACTTACGAGATATTAAAAGAAGCGCTTTCACTTTCATCGACTTAATTTAATTCATAATTAAGTACCAGGCTAGATATGTCACTTTATGATACGATTAAGTTGCAATTTTTTTATCTTTTTTTTTAATGATAATGGAATGGTAATCCTGCCTGCGGTAACGGTATATGCTGGAGGGGTACCAATGAGGGATAATAGGTGAGATGAAAAGGTCAGTTAGCCCGACGTGATGAATACATCAGGCATTCAACACGATGATTTCCAAGGCGGATCACGTGGAGTTCGACCTGACAGGGTACATTGCTAGCAATAGCAACGGGACAGGCAGTCCGACTTACTAACAATTAAGCATTAGAACCAACAACGCTATTTCCAGCGACTAGACTCAAACGATGCATCAGGTAAGAACTAAATAAAGAGGCGTATATTTAACATTCATTAAATAAACTTACCGAAGTGCTATGTTTATCTTTCTTGCCACAAATGTTCAGAACCCGCATTTGCGAGGACGAGGTGCACACGGTCAGACCGTTACACCGTTTGTATATTTACACTTCGAAAATACAGGGGGAATTAAAATTAAACACAGATATCTGCAAGTTGCGAATGAACAAGTTTTATAATTCACAGTCGTTCGACACGGACGCTTTCGTTAGCGGCGCGCGATATACTGCCGAGCGGATCCGCCGAGAGAGCCCGAGTGTGTCGACTTGTCGAGCCGAGTACGAGTGCGGCCCACCAGAGCCGTGATCGGAAGCGACTTGCCTGGCCCGAGGGACCATAGAATAAGGGCCACAACCTGATGTTTTTGTCCCGTCTAAGATTAGCAACAAACACTGTCTGGTCTGGATGAATTCATTGAAGGGGTCTGTCTGGCTTTACCCTGCCTTTGTGTCATTGAGCGCTGTATATTTTATGAAGAAATTTGATTTTAAGGTATTCTGAACTCTATCTATGTATTCGCTTGGTATAAATTTTAAATTTTAGGTAGGTAATAACGCCATTTAAAATTTTTTTGATTCTATATTAAAAGTACCTTATTGGTTACCTACTATACTTAGATGTCAGGCATCTATCTACGTTAGCTAATTATGCTATTTAAGTAGATTGTAAAGTATAAAAAAATATTATAGTCAATGTTAAGTGGTTGTTAAGTACTGGTAATTAAACCAAAAAAAAAACATTGTTTTCTGACTTGTTGGAAGTACCTATATGATATTATTACGTCATTCTAAATAGTATAAAACCCCAAGATGAAATTACATTAATTATCTATATTTATACAAATATTAATATTTAAATAATGTCAGTTTTCACTACAATTTCACTAAACAAACGACAGATAACATTTTCTTGACATTTATATAAGCCAGCGTTTCCTGTCAGAGATTTGAGAGCATATTTGAACTAAATGAACTACTATAACAAAGTAGCATTCAAAATGGATGGAGTATCAGGCTTCCGGGACGCCCATTTGCCTAGACTAGGAAGTGACGTCGTTCGAAACGTATTATGTAATTTCCTGGTGCTAGCTGGAGTATAGCACAACGGTAATATATGACTTTCAAGAAATATCTCTGGTCATTATCAATATTGAATATGAATATGTACTCGTACATCTCCTTATTATTATTTACTCCGCAGTCTACTTCAGTCATGGCAATACATACCACCCATGAACGACGCCATATTTCATAGATACATTAGATTTAAATAATGTAAACGCGAAATCATTTGTCTATATATTTAATAGTTCCATATGGAACTAACAATGAAACAAAACTCTATCGATGGCATGGAATTGTGAAAATAGTTCATATTTGGTGACGTAATAACGTATTATGTTCTTTTCTTTACTTTATCTTGTTTATTACTAATATTAAAAATGTGAATGTGAGTTTAGTTTGTTCGTTATCTTATAGCGCCTTAAGATCTTAACCAATCATTAGGAAATTTCGTATACACGTATTTATATAGAATGGAGATAGATTTATATCTATCTCCATCCCATGTAATGTACGTATGTAGTAAGTAACATACACTACTACGTATGGCTTAAAAACTAGTTATTGCTCTTAAAAAGTATTTTTAAATAAACACAATAAAAAACATTTTGACGCATCGAGAACCTCCTTCTCTTGAAAAGTACAACCGTTAATGTGCTAATTTTAAAATAAAAAAATAAATAAAAACTTTACGATTTCACATGATTGCTAAAGAATTGAATAAAACATGACCGCACTAATGTTTGCCTTATTAAATTGTTATTTATTTTTTAGTTATCCTCGTCCTACGATTAGAAAAAAATAACTTCGAGAAACAAGTTGATAGGAGAATCTATTTGGACCATCCCGGGGAGGTGTTTTCTTCATTCTGTAACCTCGTATCATTCAAACGTAGTATGAAAAGGCACTTAGTGAGCCGGCATAGTGTTGCCAACTATTGAGAGTAAATTATTTTATTTCAGTTGATCGTATTCATGAATTATTTTTCATGAGTTTACTCAGAATGATGTGAGCAAATATATGCTATAATAAAAAAAAATCAGAAAGTTCCGACACGTCTTTCTGTCGTCCATTCCACAAACTTGAAAACAAGTTTTCAATAATTTCAATCACTTCCAGTAATAAGATACGCTGCAGGGATATGGATAATGACGGTGGGAATAGTCCATAAGCTGAAAATCGCTCAACGAGCCATGACGAGCGCTATGCCCAGAGTTAGTTGAGAGATTATAATTCGTCAAAGAACTAGAGTACTTTATATAGCTGATAAGATTAGGTGACTAAAGTATCAAGAAGTTGGCCACCTTTATCGCAGAACCGATAACCATTTATGTAAACGTGTTTTAGGGTGGAAACCAAGTTAGTTTGGGGCGAGTCGTAGCTAAATGGCGCGACTATTTGCCTAAAATTTCTTATAACGAAAGTTAAATAAAGCACTGTCGTAGATACTCGTTATCTATTTATAACTTATCTATCGCTAGATAGATATAATCATTCTATATAATTTAATAGTGAAGTCCAATAGTCGTAGCCGTGCCAAAACTCCAATAGAAGAGGGCAAAATCTATCATTTAATGTTCGCCTGTCACGCACTGTATAGTCTGATTCATTGATTACTGGAATCGAAAATTTGCTCATACGTTGCGTGGTATTTTTTGTATTGTACAAAGTTAGTTATTAAGGAATTTAGTTCGTAGTATACAAGTGGCTAAATGTGTTCTTGGAAGTTACAAGAAACAAGGATGATGTTAAATAATTCAACAGTGTAGCTATAAAGTTAAAATACTTTTCAAGCAATGTGTAAATTCATTCCACAAATGAAAATAAGTCCAGTTTTGTAGAATTGATATTGAATTTTAATGACAAATCACGGTAAATATCTACATATGTAATGTAAGATCTACCACCTATATGTGTGTGACACTATGAGTGATAACTAACATCTGTGTGTAATGAGATAAGAATAAAAAAAAAAGAAAAAAGTAATCTGACGCATTGCGTATCAGATTTCTTAGTTCTTAGCTCGTAGCAAATAACTGGTGCAAAGACCAATATGCTAATAGAGGAAAAAAAGAACTCGAAGTACTATAAGCTAGCATGATAATACTGATTCTATCCTCCTTCTATGAAGATTATATTCTTCTTTTAGGAGGAGAGAGTTGTATTTAGTAGTGTCGTCATCATCATTATCATACCAGCCCTTAACCGTCCACTGCTAAATATAAGCCTTCCCATTAGGGGGTTTTGCCAGGAGTTGCCATGCCGGGATTGGTAAGCGCAATTAGGCTTGAGGGACGCTGCTGCCCATCCTTCGCTGTCCCTTAGTCGTCTCTTACGACACCCACGCGAAAGGAAGGGGTGACCAATAAAAGAGATGGTATTGTAATGTCATTTAATGAATCATTATGACAGTACCTAAACATGAAAAACGTATAAAAAACATTTGTACCTACTATTGTTTATCATATCTACTTGTATGTTCTTATCCGACATGTTCATCTTCAATAATCTTATCGGTTTCAAGTAACTCTAATTTGATTTATCTTTCTAATATTATGTAGGCATACTAAAATTTTACACCAAATGAGATATACCTATAATTTACTTATTTTAAAGGGGTTTTTTAAATGTAGGTAGTTAGATTCATAATTATATGTTGGTGCGTTTTTCATCAATTATAAAACGATTTATCTGTTGGATTACACGTCGCTTCAAGTCAATTACTATTAATCTGTTTTGCATTTTGATCCTTATTTCTATATAAGAACAGACGAGATGTAAACGTAGACACATAGCTCTTCGCGCTTAGCAGTAAGCCTCTATAGCGGATGATTACTATTATATGTCTGGAATGCAGATAATTTACATCTAACCTGATTTAGTTACTAGTCAGCTAGCTAATTTAAATTACTGAAAAAGAAGGTGGTGAATAATTGACGACCTTCGTGGTGCACTGCTTTGCGTAAATGAAGTCCCGAGTTCGATTCTCAGTTGGGTAATTTAGGAAACATTTTTTTCGAATTTTGGGTGTTCTAGTAAAAAGTATCATTGATATAACAACACAAGTATATCAGAGTTCTTTGTGTCACATCTTATGTATTGGCAGTTATGCCTCTTTGTGAGAGAGCTTGTAATGAAATATAAATTCTCAAAGAAGAAAAATAATAGTTATTTATGCGTATAAGCTAGCAAAAATGCGGGGTTTCCTTGTATTAAATAAAAATATACATTTGACCAATTTGCTTTGGTAAATTTTACTTCGAACTCTAGTTCTGTTTAAAAAAACAACTCTGATCACTGACCAATTTGATTTGGTTCATTTCACTATAGTTTTATTTCGAAGAACAATTTAGTTCTAAATTTCGATGCTTCTAGGTTATTTCGCAGTTGACTCATTGTCTAGATAAAAGCCGTACTGTATAGGTATCTGGATCTAGCATACTTCAGTTGAGATTAGTAACAAATTCGTCCCTGGCATTTTGGATTAGATTATAATTATAAAGATTATTGAAATACTACAAATGTTGCTAAAAAAATTTTTTGCTAAATAAAAGAAGCTACTATTTCAATAATGAAAAAAGACATCGATTAACAAGGAGATATTATTTTAAACACATTAGATTGAAAATATTTATTTAAATTTAGAACTTGAACTAGTATATCTAGAAAATCGATTTTGCTTTACATTAAAGAGTTTTTTGGTTCGCCTTTTTATAATAAATAAATAAATAATGTACGTAAATTCGTACACTTACTGCATTAAAATGCAACTTTTGAAAGGAGGAGGGTTTCAATTCCTCTGTATTTTTTGTTGATTTCATATTAAGTAATATTTACGTCACCTTGTTTCGACATTTATGTATTTTGTAATCGATATTTATTCCCTTATTGGTTCTAAATGTATTTAGTTTGTCACGTTATCGTTACGTCGTGTTGAGCAGTTGTTTTTTTATGGGGCAAAATCTATTTATGTTAATTTTGCTAAAAAGTTCCGCGTTCTAAATTAAAATATATTTAATTGTGTTTATGAAACGTCATATATCTCATCCTCCATCTGTGTGTTTTATTTAGTTTAAAATAGGAATACTTGGATTACACGACTGAAGCTCTTTTTGCGGAGTAAAATCTACTTCTTTTGACTTCAATTGACTTAGTGACGCTGAGTCAGTTAGTTTATCTCTATAATTAGCATAAGATAAGTAGA